TTTTTTCTCGGCAGGGATGAGGAAGACGGTGATTATGTGAACTGCTCTTCAGATCAGTAGTGTGAATCATTCAAAAAATGAATCGATTCCGTTAAACCCACCTCCAAGGATTCGATTGCAGAGAGGAGAATATGCAAATAACAACCACAAAAGAGAAGAAATGGTTAGATCGAAAACTGAAGATAGAGAGCGAAACCAAGGCTTAAAAGAGAGAGAAAGTACTCACTTTTCGATCACCTGGGTCTTCCCGTTGCAAAGAAAGAGGGAACATCAGTTTAGAAGAGAGGTAGAGAGAGATGAGGAAGATGAGATTCATGTGAAAGATTGGAGCCAGATGAAGGAGAGGGAGTCATTTTGAGAGTGCAGAATAGAGGGACAAAGAAGGAAGGGAGAAAACTCAGTGGAGTTTCCCGAAAACCAAGACCCCACTGCCATCATCCATACATCTCCCACTACCTGAATCCCTACCTCTCCCAATGACAACCATAAAATACCAGCAATGAAGAATGGATTCTGGATACGAAAACCCAATCATCGTTTGGTCGGAAAAAACCCAGACATGACCGTTGTACGTTGCCGACCTTGCCACATTCAGATCGCCACCAACATCGTCGCTCATACCTTTCCTCCTCTCCGTCCAAAGAAATAAGACACAGAAAAATAGGATCGTCATCGATCGAGGCTCCTAACGGATCTCCTTCTTCGGCAAGCTGCTGCTTCATCGCGATTTTCGGAGTTTCTGGCGATCGCAAAGAGAGAAAGAGGTCAGAGAAGGAGAAGATTTGGGAAAGATGGCGGAGAAAACAGAGAGAGAAAGTAAAAAGGAAGAGGGGTTTCTGATATTTCTACCAGTACCGGTTTTTGACCCTCTCCCCTCTCAGACTTTTTCTTTTTTTACAAATAATACCAACTTTTATTCCACCTTAAAAGAGAGCCAAGAAAAGGCTATTACATTCTTAAAGGAGAGCAGAAATTAGATCAAGAATATTAATCCAGTCATCTGGCAACCTATCTCTAGCTTTTGATCGTGCTACCCAATCCGCTTTGACATTCGAGGCCCTCGGAATTTCTTCCACCGAAATTGCAGGGTTAGTCCGGAGAATATTGACCATTGTTCTAATCCACGCTGCACATCTCCAGGGCCATCGCGACTGCCTATTCTTTAGGGCCTTCACCATCATCTGACAGTCAGTTTGTACTGTACAAACCGATCCATATTCTTGAGCTAATTTAATTCCTTCCAAGAGAGCCTTTGCTTCCGCTTCAATCGGGGTGGAACAAAGAAGATTTTCAGCTCTCCCATCATACACTTGTCCATGGTGGTTAACAACAACAACACCATATGTCGCCGACTGGGAGTCGCTAAAGAACGACTCATCACATTGAATCACTATCGAGTGATCACTTGGCGGGGGATTCGTAGTAGGGTGGGATCCCCTGAGCTGAGTGGGACCATCTGAACCTTGAGGTGGGGGCCTCGGGCATGCATTCCATTCCGTAAGTTCTCTGTACGTTTGCAGACAAACATTTGGGGGCCAAGGGATTCTATTCTTGAAAGTGCACTCATTCCTAGCCTTCCAAATGTTCCAACAAAGGTAGATAATATGAGTAAGCGAGCTCTGGGGAATGGTATCTTTGAGGGAGCAGAACCAGTCAAGGAAAGAGATGCCCTGAGGGGGAATCGGAAGGGAAGGGAAAATGCTAGACCAAGATTCTCTCGCATGCGGGCAGTAGAAAAGGCAGTGACTAAGGGACTCGTAAGGATCATGACACACTTGACAATTCGGGTTAGGGGCACATTTTCGTTGGAAGAGTCTTGCTTTCGTTGCCAACCCATTTCTGGAACATCTCCAAAGAAAGAACTTAAGCTTGGGCGGGATGTTCAGCCCCCAGGTCCACTTCCACCTCTCTTCACTTCCTGTTGACTGGAAATTAGTGTTGATTTTATGAACTGCATGGTAGGCCGTCTTGACCGAGAAATCTCCCTCTCTAGTGAGGCTCCAAGCCCAAAAATCATCAGCACCCTCCTCCCCAATTGGGACTTTAAGTATCGCATCCACTTCTTCCCTCGTCACATGTCCTTGCAGCAAATCCAAATTCCAGCTCCTACTAATTGGGTCTATCCATTCCTTGACTCTCATGTTCTGCTGGGGGCCGCTTCCTACAACAAAATTCTGTATGCTCGGTATCCATGGATCTTGGCAAAACCATGTATCCTCCCCTGACCCGTTACTTTAATGGCACCCATTTTGATAACTTTTTTGGCCTCCCAAAGACTCGCCCAGATCCATGATGCTCTACTTCCTTTTTTGGACTGCATGAAATCTCCTCTCGGGAAGTACAACCCCTTTAGGAGCCTACACCATAGGGCATCAGGGGAAATAAGGATTCTCCACACTTGTTTTGCCAACAGGGCCAAGTTGAAATCTTTAAAGCTTCTGAACCCCAATCCCCCTTCAGATTTTGGGGCACACAGAATCTCCTTCCTACACCAGTGCATTGTGCTTTTTTGCATTGACCCTGACCAGAAGAAGTTGGTAAGGAGGGAATCCATCTTTTTGGTGAGGTTAACCGGAAGGTTAAAGAGGTACATGATGTAGGAAGGAATAGCTTGGATGACTGCTTTGAGCAGCACTTCTTTTCCTCCATGGGAAAGGAGGAGGCTCTTCCACGCTTCCCCCATCTTCTCCATTCTCTGTATCAGGAACTGAAACGTTTCCTTCTTTGAATTCCCCCATTCCGTCGGCACTCCTAAGTACTTGGTGTGGCAATTAGAAGAGGCAAAACCGATATGATCAATGATTTCAGCTTTGTCCACATCTAGTACATTTGCACTGAAGAAGACGAAAGATTTGTTAATATTCACTTCTTGTCCTGTGATGGCTCCGTACTCTCTTATAAGATCCAGGATCTTCTCCGCTTCTTGAATGTTAGCTTTCCCAAAAATCACTATGTCATCAGCAAAAAGACAGTGGGTGAGAATCGGGCATCTCGCGTTTAATCTAATTCCGTTTACCTGATTCTGGGACACTGCTTTATCAATCAGAAAGGTAAGCGCATTAGACATTAAAATGAACAGGAAGGGAGAAAGCGGGTCTCCCTGTCTGATCCCCCTGGACGGTTGGAACTCATCTGCTGCTTCACCATTGAAAAGGATGGAGAACTTGACTGTCCGGATGCAAGAGCTAACCCATCTGCACCATCTACTATCAAACCCATACTTCTCCAACAGAGTTCCTAAGCAATCCCAGTCCACCATATCATACGCCTTCTTCATGTCCAACTTGAGCATCATATCCCCTTATCCTTCCCCCGCTTGTGGTTTTTGAAGTGATGAAGGGCCTCGTGTACAATAATGATATTGTCTTGAATAAGCCTCCCCCCGGTGAACGCTGTCTGGAGTTCTGAGATCAGATCAGGCGTCCAGATCTTCAGTCTGGTTGCCATAATTTTCGATATAATTTTGTATCTAAAATTGCAGCAACTAATAGGCCGAAACTGGCTTATCACTTCTGGGTGATCCACTTTTGGAATCATGACTATATGTGTATCATTCCATCCTTCCGGCATTGCGGCTGTCGCAAAAAATTCCTTCACCTCTCTACACACCGTTTTCCCAATGATCTGCCAGAATCTCCTGTAAAACCTACCAGAGAAACCATATGGACCAGGAGCCTTCTTTGCACCCAGAGAGAAAACCGCCTTCCTAACTTCCTCATTGGTTACTGGGGCACATAGAGCAACATTCATTTCCGCTGTTACCTTTGCTGGGAATCCATCCAGAAGGTGGGTAAAGGGAGTAGTGTCTCTAGCCTTAAATAAGTCCTTGTGGAAATCCTGCGCCAGACCTTTTAGTCTATTTTCGTCCTCTACCCACTCGCCCCTCTCATCTTTGAGTCTAAGAATCTTGTTCTTATGCTTTCTATGAATCGTGCTGGAATGGAAAAAGGAATTGTTCTGATCCCCTTTCTGCAGCCACTTCACTCTTGAGCACTGATTCCAGAAAGCCTCCTCCTCCCTCCACATCTTTGTCAATTCTTCATAAAGCTTCTTTTCCTCCTCCACTCTTTCCTGCGATCTTGGAGGACGTTGTAGAATATCCAGACGTTCCAGTATTTCCTTTTCCCTTTGTAAACTGTTCCTATGGAAGTCTTTTGACCATTCTTTAAGATCTTGTTCGCACTTGGCCAGCTGGTTAGACGATTGCCCTCCCGGGTCCCATGCTCGGACCACAATTTCCTTGCATTCTTCCTTATCCAGCCATCTTTCATCTATTCTGAATGGTGTTCTCCTCCTCCTATTACCCCTATAGCAGAGCTCCAGTCTGATTGGGCAATGATCCGATTCTACCATCCTTTCATGGAAGACAGTTGCCTCCCCGAATAGAACTCTCCAAGAAGTCGAGCACAACACTCTGTCTAATCTGACTCTTGTTGTATTCTCGCCAACACGCTTATTGGTCCAGGTGAAAGGTTCTCCTTTGAACCCTAGATCAATAAGTGCATTGTTGAAAATAAACCTTTTAAATGGTTCGACATTCTCGTACCTAAGAGGACAACGCCCCTCTTTCTCGCTTTCATAAATAGCAGCATTGAAGTCACCAACTATGACCCAGTTATCCTCCCTACTACTCCGAAGAGAGCTCAGGTGCTCCCAAAAATCCCTTCTACTCACAGCTGTAGAGGGTGCATGAACAAAGGTACAATAGAACTTCCTACCCATATCAATACTACAATCCATATAGTAGCTATCGCTACTCAAAATATTAATACTAATACCCGATTTCCACCAAAGCGCAAAACCCCTTGAAGAGTTGACCGGTTCCACATACTCTTTATTGGGGAAAACTTTGAGACTTCTTCTTTGCTCCTCCATGAATGATTCATTTTTGCTTGTTTCCATGAGGAAGACAATCGAAGGGCCTAAACGTCTACAGAGACGTTTCGCATAACTTCTTGTAAGGGTTGGGCCAAAACCCCTACAATTCCAACTTATGAAACTCATTCTTGAAGAGTTGGCTTCTGGCGAACCACCGCTGCCTTATTCTTCTTCCCTCGACCCTCTTGATTGTTTTCATTCTGATTCCCCTTAGAGGTGCAAGGTTGCATAGCCTTGAACTTCAAATTCTTCTTTTTGGTGCCATCTCCATGCCCTCCCACTTCAATCCCATCTGCTGGCCCAAATTGGAAGGCCTCTACTTCTCCCAATTCGGCCCTGGGCCTTGCTCCCCCAAACAGGCCCTCAACCAGGCCCATCCCCTTTCTCTTCTTCTGTTTGCGGCCCGATCCATCCTCCCTTTCCTCATGAATGTGCTGATAATCAGCACTCATACTTAGGCCTGCCATGTTATGGCTTTGGGCTGGGATTCCCATCTGGGCTTGATTGGTCTGTTGGGTTGGCCCAAGTGAGAGAGTAGTCTCCACTGTTGGCCGCCCAAGCTCTTGGATGCTCCGCTCCTCTTCCAGTCGCAATCCCCTCTCCATCGCCGCCGCCGCCCTGTCCATCTCAACACCCAGGTTAGTTGCTCCCATCTCCTCTCGGTATCTTCCCCTCTCTCTTCCCTGTGACCCTTGGCCTTCCTCTCCCTGAATTCCTTGCTCCATTCTCCTCACTGTGAACCCTGGGGGGAATTAACATATTCCCTTCAGAACTCCCTCCCTCATCTGCTGACATCGCTCTTCCCTCTTCTTCCCTCCTTCTCCCCTGACTTCCCGAGCTAGCCCTACTCCTTCTCGCCATCGCCTCTTCTTCCTCCCTCCATCGCCCCAGGCTTCCCGAGTTCGCCCTTTCCCTTCCCTCCGATGATCCTTGTGAGCTTTCCCCCTCCCTGCTGCTTCTGTAACTGGCCGCCTGGTGCCTGTGAGGTGAGTCAATTCCTGCTTTTAGCGACGAATTGTATACCTCAGACAGGTAAGCGATTCCATTCCTCTTCCTTTCTTCGTTCATTCTCCAGCAAGTCGGCCAATTGTGGCCAACTCTCCCACAGAAATAGCACAATTCCACCAGCCTCTCATATTTGAATTCGATGACGTCGCAATGCTCTTCTCCCGTGACTTCATCTGTGAACGGAAAATCAAATCCGATCGGGACTGGTTCCTTTAGATCGACCTCCACCAGAATCCTCAAGAATTTTCTGTACCCAGAGAACTCCAAGCTAGCTCTGTCCAGGTCGAGAAACCCCGGGAAATAGTGAGCTCTGATCGCCACCATGTTCTGTTCGTTCCTTTGGTCTTGATGCATACCATGAATCTGCACCCACATAGCCACCCTCTCCATTGGAACTTCTTCTGGTTTGCCCCTTCCGTTGTACTTCTCCACTGCAGTTAGCGTGTTTGACAGACTCCAAGGTCTTTCCCTCCATATCTTCTCCCTGATTTCTTCATTACTGAAGGTGAATATGAAGAGGTTTTGTGTCTCAGTCGGTTGGACATTTACCTCTCCATATCCCCCCCAGGCATAGCATGCCGCACCCGCTGCCTTTGCCAGAGCTACTCTGCTCTCGGTCAGCATCTTCCCCAGCAACATTGAAATTCCTCTGCCTCCAGTGGATGTGAGGATAGGACGATCAGCTCTGCTTCTTGATGATGACTGGGTAAGTCTGCTTTCCTCTCTGGCTCTGCTATGTTCTCTGTTGTTGTTGATGTCCATGGTGGATGAAGGGGTTTTTTCACTTTCTTTTCTGTTTATGTTGTTTGCAGGGTAAAACAGAGGGGGGTTTGGGGGTTTTTCACTCTCTTTTCTGTTTATGTTGTTTGCAGGGTAAAACAGAGGGGGGTTTGAACGGTAGAGATTTCTGGGCCTGTTTATGTTGTTTGCAGGGTAAAACAGAGGGGGGTTTGAACGATAGAGATTTCTGGGTTTGGGAGCTCTTTTGGAAGCAGTTGCCCTTTTCCTCTTATTCTTCCCCTCTTTAAAGCCTTCTCCAGGCAGCCTGCCTTTAATTTCATCTAGCTAGAAGTCATCTTGAATCTTTTCACTGCCTTCATTATTCCTCTGCTGACTGCTCTTCCCCCTGCTCTGCTTTTCTGTCGCTGCATCCGCTGCACTTGGCTCAAGATTTCCGTCCCTCCTCTTCCTATTGATGGTGTCTACTGCTGGGTAATCTCTTGTAGCCCTTCTATTCCCTCGTACTTTCCTTCTCTTCTTCTCCCTTCTCTGATAGCTGAAGGTCGATTTCCACCTGTCTGGTGGTTTCCAAATCCCTCTTTTCTTTATATCTTCTGCCTACCTTCCCCTGCCTTGTCCAATCTCTACATGAATCTCCCCCTGTTGTTGATGTGCTGAGCCTATCTCCCTCTTTCTTGTCATCCAGATCTTTGCGATCTGCAAATGGTGGTTGTGGAACTTTAATGGCGCTCTCGGGTTGAGCAGGAACAGTCCCAACGACGGGGACGGAAAAAGAACCGTTGGGTTCAGAGGAAATATCCGTTAGAGAGAGAGAAGAGAGAGACATCTTCTGTTTGCGTGACCACTTCCAAGAGTGTTCTCCCCTCTCAGACTAATTGATCAGAAAAGGCTTCATCTTGCTCCCTGACATCTCGAGACCTCCACCCATTTTTTTGTACAGCAGGCTGAGTCAAATCTGTGTCTCGTACCATCAGCCCTGAGAGAGAAGAAGGTATGCGAGAAAAGACAGAGAGAGAGAAGAGAATCTCTAACCAGATCCGCGGGCAACCGCAACACAGTGAGAAAACCAGCGGGGCCCACACACAGGCAGGCAGCCAATCAGGGAACAGTGCACAGTAAATTTCGGTCACATTGAACAGTAATCTCAGTCTATGTGTACAGTAGGGGCCGTGTCTTTGGAAATAATTCTCTTTAACATTTATATTTATTTCTAAAATCAATTAGATTTGTCTCTATATGTATTGTTTATATATGGTATAGCCGCAAATAAGATAATTGCCTCTAAAGTTATTATTTAAACATATTTTATTTAAATTATAAGATAATTTTATGAAATAGAGACACATAATTCTACCTAAGACAAATAATATTTTTGTCCCAAAAACTTAGCTACAGAGAGTATACAATAACTGTTTCTAATTATTTGTCTCTATAGCTAGGTTTTCTTGTAGTAATGTGGCGTCCACGTGGTATGGCAGGTCTAGGTGGGTATGATGTGTCGTCCAGGTGGCATCCACCTCAGGCAAAAAAGTCCACGTAACTGACGGGGTCGTTTAACGTCGTTAAAGTATTAGACGGAAATGGCTAAATATATCAATAAAGTTTAAAATTGTGGCTATATCTGTGTATTTTTCAAATTTAGCTATTATTATCACAAAGTGGATAGTTATGGCTATGCATATGTATTTTGCCTATTATTTTTTATAGAGAACCATGATAAACTGTATATTCCATAATGATTTCTTAATTACGTATGTGACTTATGTTGCAAATCAAACCTCTCGACACTCAACAAACAGAAAATGAGAGAAAGAAATGTAAATTTAAAAGGCCTAAGGGGATGAACGGTTTAACGTTAGTGGAAATGAATTTCGCATTTTTATTCAACAAAAAATGGGAAGAGATGCGATAAAATGTGTATCTGAATTATCGATCGATTAATAAAGATAAGTATCTTATCGTGTTACAGGAATCGGTACAACTCTAGATTTAATGATTAAAATTAAGAAGCTGACAAAAACAAAAATTATTTTGTATCAATTAAACGTAAATAAATAACTAAACTAGAAATCATGTGGGAAATTCATTTCTAGAAAAATCTATAGAAAGAAGATATGGGGAAGGACTATATGGAATTCACTATCCAATTACTTGCCTCACCCTGTTTATTAATCAAATCAATTTCCATTCGAATTACTAAGGTTATCTTTAAGATGGTATTTATCTCTCTAAATACTAACTATGCATTAAGTAGTCAAGTAATTGTTTGCTCTAGTACAATCAATAATTAACTACCTAATCTAAGTCCCATAACTCATATGATGACCTATTTTAGTACTTTTATGGCAACAGATTTCTTGTAATATAATGAAGGTGTGTCAGTTACAATTATTGAAGGTGTGTTGAAGTTCCTGTATTCGAATATTTAATACAAAAAAATCTGGATCTCTCACAAAAAATTTAACAGAGGTGTGTCGAGTGAGACACCTCTCTATAAGGTGGGTCCTCCACTATATTCTAAGATGTTTTATATACGATTTAAATTCATTTGATGTTAATTCTTTTTCACATATTTACCACTTTTGTTAAACCAACATGAATCAAAACAAATCAATTGTATCACTGGTCGAATCATACCACTTACTAAACCGATACTACGATATAACTGGTACTACTGTATAAATTGGTTTGACAATGTTGCTCGAAATAGAAAAGAAAGACCAATAGAAAAGGGGTAAAAAGGGAAATTGGACATGGAACATCCCGCTTGCTTTCCGAACGTTGCAAGGGAGCCCTTCTTACGTTTTAAATTCCCGCACCCCGTCTTCTTCTTTTCCCCTTTCATTCCACAGAGAAATAGCCGTTGCTCTCATCTTCAACTCCTCCAACGGCCGCCGGCTCTGACTACTTCCGTCCACTCTTCCCCATCACCGGTAAAAAAAAAAAAAAAAAAAACTTCCTTCTCCCCTCCAATCCCCATCGCCGTGTTTCTGTGTGGGTGGATTTTCCCCATCTTCTGACTTTCCTTCTCCCTCCACAGGATCCCATGGCAGCTTCTTCCTCTTCTCCACTGTTCAGCCCATCTTCCGACAAGCGCTTCTGGACCACTCTCAACGGCCATGTCGATTCTATCCTTGAAGGCCGCCGTCGTCGATCTGAAAACACTTCACAGGATGATGGCAGCGAAGTGGAATCCAAGAAGACCGGCAGGTCGAAGCGGATGAAGGAGGATGCTCTGCTTCTGATGAGAGGATTTGATTCCATCTCTCACACCCTCTCCGCCCTCTCCAACAACATCGACAACGCTCTTCAGGTAGGAAATTCCCCCTTTTTTCTTCTTCCTTCGATTGCAAGGTCCAGTAGTGCTCTTTTAATTCAAGATCTTTCATGGCGATTTTTTGTTTGTTCATAGGGAGCTAGATCTCTGGCTGAGCCACCGACATTGACCGAACTACTCCAAGCGAATAATACCAAATGCTCCGAAACCCAACAAGACGATTCTCGCCAATGCTCCAAATGGAAAGAAGAAGAGAAAGAGGGAATCACAGGTCTCAAGAGGAAGTTGGAAACAGAGGATGATCATATCTCGGTTGGGGAAGGAATCAATGATGGCGGCCCAAAGGCAAATACCAGTAATAAGTTGCAGAAAGCCAAAAACGTATGTTTATGTGTGTTTTCCTGTCATTTCCAATTGGTATTGGATTCGGGAACGACTTTTCTGAATCCTCAAACCCCATAACGTTTCCATTATGCAGCTAGCTGTTTCCATGGCTAAGAAGGCAGGAGCAATGGCCAGGGAGCTTAAATCAATAAAATCCGACATGTGCTTTGTGCAAGAGAGGTGTGCTCTGCTGGAGGAGGAGAATAGAAGGCTTCGAGATGGCTTCCCTTCTGGGATTCGGCCAGAGGAAGACGACCTTGTACACACTAATTCATATTCTAGTTGCCTTTGATTGGCTTGGTTGTTGTGATCTCTGTTTGGCTGATTGATGATAATGGTGGGTGATTGATTCACAGATGAGGCTGCAAATGGAGGCGCTGCTAGCTGAGAAGTCAAGGCTAGCGAACGAGAATGCTAATCTGACCAGGGAAAACCAGTGCCTCAACCAGCTTGTGGAGTACCACCAACTCACAAATCAAGATCTCTCTGCGTCATACGAGCAACTAGTTCGTGGGATGGGGCTCGATTTCTCTTCTCCAGATTGCTCACAAGACGACGATGACAACAGAAACAAAGTAGATTATGAAGCTGGATGCCCGGCACCGCGATCCAACATCTTGGACGTGTCTACATCCCTTGACAAGTACTTCGAAGAAGAACAGTAACAGTATAAACATTGAACCATGAGTGCTCTATCTATCACAGAGCACTACACATATCCCGTCGAATGCCATTCCATCATTCTTAAGTTACTAGCACAAGAGCAAACAGTACATTTAAATCGTCCACCATGTGTAAATTTTGGAGTGGCTGTTATGTTGTTCCAAGTGTATTATGCTATTTATGAGCTCAAAAGGAAATGAAGGGAATAACAGTGCAGAATTGTCTTGTTTGTAATTCTTCTTCATTACAAAAGGGCAAGTGAATGGTTAATCTTCAACAAAAGCAGTTTTTTTAAGTGGTACACAGCATAACCTACTAATATAGGCTCTGGCATAACAAAAGATCCTCCAAGCCCCTGTTAATTTCCAAAGGCAGTCCTTTCACAATACTATCTAGTAGCAGCAGCATCTTCAGTGCATATCTGTAAACAGCCATTACCGACTAATATAAACAGCCACTACTACTAAACTACTGATTGGCTCTGGGATTGATTGTAATATAGGGCAATAACATAGCAAAAGAATCCCCCCAAGCCCCCCTGTTAACTTCAAAAGGCAGTCCTTTCACTGTGCTCTCGAGCAGCAGCAGCTCTTGCTAGTTAACTTCAGTGCATCTGTTAACTGCATTGATTAAATTAAGGAAGCAACGTCAATTTAGAAATTAGAGAAAGAAGTACCCAAATTCCAAGTATTGAGTATGATCGGTAAGCACTTAGTAGTTAGTACTACATACCCCCGCGTCTCTGCCACGAGCATATTCCAACTCCTTGATCAACCGACGGTTCTCCTCTTGTAAAACAACCACCTGAACATTCAAACCAAGAACATTAATACATCTAAAACAATTTTTTATATGCAAGCACTTGTGACAGTTGAGGGTAACATAAACCTCCTTAATGGTATCAAAGTACAAGCCTTTGTACGTCAAGTGCGCAGCAGAACTTCTCTTCTTCGCCCGCGAGGCTCTCGCAGCATCCTGATGTGCAATCTTAACAACAATCATGACTGGTGATAACCCAACTAAACTTGCAAAAATGAAAAATGGATCCTTACTTGAGCCTGCAGTTCAGCCATGGTCTTCTTTTGTCTCTTGCAAATTTCCACAAGTCCATCCCAACAATCCCCAATTCCATTAGTCTCGAGCACAAGATCTTCCTCCACCTCCTTGGCTCCTTCTTTCCCCACCACGGGGTGTTGATCTTCTTCCGGCACTGCCCCAGCTTCTTCTTCTTCTTCCTCCTCCTCCACCTCCACCTCTTTGGCTTCTTCCACCGTGTTGGGTTGCTGATCTTCTTCCTCATCCTCCTCGCTATCAGTTGAAGTTATCTCCTCAATAATTCGCTCAATTTCCTGAGCTTCAGTTTCAGTAGTAGTCCTAACACCGCTCTTGAGGCGGTTAGAGCGCCTGACTCCGCCAGGGGTCATCTTTACCTTCTTTTTTGAGGAAGAAGCTGACTTGTTCACCGCCTTTGGGGACGCCACACTATCCCCTGGATTAGGGGTTGCAGATTGCGGGTTGGGGGATCCCGACTGAGAATGCAAAGAACATATGTAGCCATACATCATTAGTTTGATTACACAGTTCACTCATGAATAAATGTAGGTTCGATTCCTTCACCAAATCTGCATGTGGTGCAGAAATAAAACCTTCCCCACTGGATATATACTAGAACAGAGCCATCAAAAAACCCTAATCGGGAAAGAGGGAAACCATCTCATCAAACACAATCAAATAAAAGACCGTGAATAAACCTCTAGATAAAGAGAGGGTTGCAAATAGACCATCGTTTTGTACAAGAATGCCATGCATGCGAAAAGGAACCCTACAGAAAGGGAAACAGGAGAAGCCAAGTACAAAGGGGGAAAAGGGTTGTTTGAGTTGTGATTTACCGAAGGGATTGGCGAGGTGGCTACTTGTGCTGGCTCAGGAGTAGAAGAAGCACTGCGTTTCCTTCCCATTCTTTGTTTACTTTGCCTTGAGATGTTCTTGTGGAAATTTGCAGAAAGAGATTATTGACTACTTGCCTTTAACGAAGAAGAGCAGAGGAAGGAGGAAAGCAAGGGGCTATACGTCCGGAGGACTGTTACTACTGTAGCGGGGAGACGAGAGGACACGACAGGACGAATGACTCCGTTGAGGGGTAGAAAAAGGGTTCAAGATAGGGTTAGTAACCACACGGGAGCGGTTGATTTGGGAATGGAGCAATCGTGTGGCTGGACTGGATGTGGGGTGGGGACTGGGGAGGGGCATTTTTGTCCATTTTTATATTTTTAATTTTTTTTATTCATTACCCATTTCAATGGCTGACTTTTCAATGAAAGAGAGAGAATGACATTTTCTCTGCAACTTAACTTTCTTCCTTCTCTCTTCCTTTCTTTCAATCTCTTTCCAGATCCTTTCTCTTTTTCTATACCTTCTCTCTTACTTTTTCTTTCACAATCGCCTTTTCAAATTTAGATCTCCTCTCTTCCTTCTTCATTTTTTTTCTCTAGCAATCGACAAACAAAAATTGTAGCCACTCTCTTTCATTGCATTTCTTATCTTCATTAACTCGTTGGCCTCAATTCCGATCTTTCTCTTTCTCATTTTTTTGGCATTTTGGTGTTCTTGATTGAGGAAGAGGAAATGAGAGGTATCAGAAGACGATTTTTTTCTCTCCCTCATTCTGTTTTTTTTCCTTTTAGATAATATATATTGATATTATGACTCTATACCATATGGTATTGGATGGTAACGAAATATATATTGATATTACCACACCATACCCTATGGTAATGTATGGTATTGCGTGGTAACGAAATATATATTGATATTACCACTCTATACCATATGGTATTGTGTGATATTACCATACTATACCATATGGTATTGTGTGGTAACGAAATATATATTGATATTACCACACTATACCATATGGTATTGGGTGGTAATGAAATATATATATTGATATTACCACACTATACCATATGGTATTGGGTGGTAACGAAATATATATTGATATTACCACACTATATCTTATGGTAATGTATGGTATTGCGTGGTAATGAAATATATATTGATATTACCACTCTATACCATATGGTATTGTGTGATATTACCACACTATACCATATGGTATTAGGTGGTAACGAAATATATATTGATATTACCATAAATACCATATGGTATAGACTGGTAATAACTGGAAAAAAATTTTATGTCCAAAAAATATCAAAGTGGATATCATTTTGAAGAGCACAATTAATCTGATCTAACTGTGCAAAAAAATTAAATTCCGACTTAAAACGAGTGAGAAATCGTCCGTTAAAGATTAAGAGAAGAAAAATTAAAGCTTTTTCGAGGAGAGAGAAGGAGGTGCTGATGTGGTCCGGTCAAAAGTCAGCGTCAGTATTAAAATAGGTGTAAGTGCAATTTTACCTTACTGCCCTTCCGCATTTAATTAAATAAAAAAAAGGACTGACACGTGGAGATCAGAGAAGGAGTTACTGATGGGTTACTGACCCATCAGTTACTGACGTGATCTGCTCCCTAGAAAAAGAGGCAGTAAATTGGTAATTAGTTTGACGTGACCCCCTTTAAAAACCAGAGAATGAATCACCTGTGCTGCTTACCACCGTTGATCTCTTGGTGGGTTTTCCGTCTAAACCGGTCGATAAAATTTATACGTGTAGAAAATATTTACTGAACCGAATAGTATATGAATCGAACAAATTGAGCGTGAATGAGAGTGTATGGGTTGGAATTCTGAACCTATAAAGCTGGTATTCAGAGTTTGGTTCGGATAGAACCAAACTGATTCTCCATTGTTCGAACCGAACAACCAAACCATCCATTCTCCCTAGCACGATGACTTATAGGCTCATTTCCAAAAAGCCTCCAAAGCCCACACTTACCTCACCTAACCCTACCCGCCTTCCCTCTCCCCTTCGATCTTCGGCCTTCACGAGCTTCAGTATCATCGCTCAAGCATCTCACCATCTCCTCTCTTCCCTTCCAATCGAAATCCATAACCTCCCTCACTTCACGAGCTCGACTATCATTCCTTCCTCTCTCATCACTAACAACTCTCCCTTGTCTTTCATTTATAATCGGGGAGCTCCTCATATACTCCAAATTGGAGTCTCCAAAGTGTACGAGGCGAGGCGGTAACAATCCCTCGACAGTCATTCATCATTGGTATCACCAACCACCTCCTCCTCCTTCTATTCCTCGCGACAGCGATCCCTCGGTAGCCCTGCATCCCCGCGCAGCCACCGCCTCCTCCATCCATCGTCGATCGGCAATTCCCTTTCCATCTCTCCACCAGCCACCGAAACAATTGTCGGCAACCCCCTTGACATCGCCTCCAACCAACCAGGAAACTCCCTCCGAGCACACAACCCACCAACCCTTCAGCACAGACAAAAAAATTGAAAAGGCCCATTATGGAGAGCAAAGCCCACCAGCCCAACTAAATTTTGGGGTTGTTCGGAAAACCCATTTCGAATATGGTTTTGTTGAGTTTTGCAATGATCGAACAAGTCCTTAGTTAGGCTCAAAGTTGGGCGTAGAAATCTTCCATGTGCATTTCGAATTCGGTTCAGGTTCTCTCGAACCGATCAAATGTCCACCCATAAGTGTGATATTTTGGAGGAAAATAAGTCGAAAAAGAAATAAGAAGGGGCAAGTGGTTTATATATCTATGTCATTATTACTCCACCTTGACTAGTGAGTTAATTTAGATTGATTGACTAAATTCCTCACATATAGGATTGCACATGCCAAATTTGGTTCATAAGCCACATACAAGAGTTGTCCATGGAGGAAGTAATCCACGACGAGGAAAACCGAGTTGTATGGGGTGGATGGATAGTCCTCAACCTAAAATGTTAAGGCTTGTGTTGGCATAAAATGAGATTTATGTAGGCTATGCTGATGAGAGAAGGAAAAGCAAACTTTAAGGGGGAGAAAATTTTGAGGTGGAAATATTTTAGGGGAAAGAAAATCATTGTTAGAAGAAACTTGATCAATGGAACCGAGAAAATATGGAAAGGGGAATAAAGAGCAAGAATCAAAAGGGGAAGTCTATATATGAAGATCAGAAGCGGCAATCACGAACCCTGATCGCTCTACGGTCAATAAACAATGTTATATAAAGGGTAGAATAGCAGAGGGAACATTCACCTTTTCGAGCACAACAATTCAATAGGAGTTACAAAGTGTACGAGCTATTGAAACGAAAAGGAGAGTTGTCAGGGAGATAACTTGAGAGTTAGGAGTATCAAAGTCAGAGTTCTACAGGGAGTAGAACTTTGGAAGGGATTCTAATATGTGACAGGGAGTCATTGAGAGATTGGGTGTTGTATTGTGTAACTTGGATACAAATCATGTTAGTGATCGCTAAAGGGTTTAAACTGAACCTCTTTGGTTGTGGACTAGTCGGTATTGCACATTGCATAACGGAGACCACGTAAAAATCTGGTGTTGTCTCTTCTGCGTTTTAGTTTCAATTCACCTCTATTTTGCTGCTCTATTTCTTGTTCTTAGCCGCAGAGACTCGACCAAAGCACGGACTTGAGGAAGAAGAAGAAGGAGTCTTACACAACAAAGAACTCACCGTTTCGACACAAAATGCTAAGTTGCAATCCATCTAGAGTTTGGGCCGCATCTTGTTATACAGAGAAGTTTCATCGTAACTGAATAATACTATTGGGCTTGAAGTAAGCTAGGCCCATCGTTTTATTGAACAATAAACCACTTTCTAAATATTGTTGAAACTCAATCCGATCAAAACAGCTTCGTCGTTTATTTCATCCAAGCTTCTTCGTCGAAGCAAAGCAAATTCGAAAAACCCTAACCCTAAGTTCCCAAAAGCTAGTTTAGATTTTGCAGGTGTTACAACAAGAATCTCGCGCTCGATTCAAACCAACACGTGGTATCGAGCCTGGTCGCCGACCGAAGACAGACTTAACAACCTCAGGCGAAGATGAATTCGAGCTCGATGAATGGAAATGGGGTTTTCATGGTCGACGGATTCTCGCAGACTCGTCCACCCAGATTCGAGGGAGTACACTATGGGTACTAGAGAAACAAAATGAAACTCTTCATCGGCTCCACAGATCCTAATCTCTGGAACATTGTTCTTGACGGACCACTCGAAGTAAAGGAAGTCAGAGGAAAGTGGACTGAGCAAGACAAGAAGAACTTTCAATTGAACTCGAACGCAACGAACTTGATGTACTGCTCCTTGGGACCTCAGGAATATCACTGAGTCACTGGGGCTAAGGAAATTTGGGACAAACTCCAAATCGCACATGAAGGTACATCTCATGTAAAGATCTCTAGAATCAATAAGCTGAAACAAGAGTTTGAAACCTTTGTGATGAAGCCTGAAGAGTCTATAAAGGAGATGAACGACAGGTTTAGTACCATAGTTAATAGTTTGAGAAATCTCGAAGTCGAATATGCGAGTGTTGATTTAGTTCGTAAGATTCTGTGGGCGCTTCCTAAGAGGTGGACTCCCAAGGTGACTGCTATAGAAGAATTCAAGGATTTAACCAAGTTGTGTCTGGATGAACTCATGGGATCTCTAGTCACTCACAAAGATAAGCTAAGAAGAGAAGAGAGTGAAGAACCCAGAAAAGAGAAAAAGGATATAGCCTTTAGAGTTACTGAACAAGGAGAAGAATTGGACAATCTAGAAGATATGGAAGATGATGAACTATCCATGTTGAGTAAACATGTGGATAAACTAATCAAGCTGCATAAGGATAAGAAAAAGGGCGGCTTCATGAGTCTCTCAAGGGAAGCTGAGTCAGACAAAGATCAATCCAAGTCCTCTCGGCAAATGTCCAGATTCAGAAAAGAAATAAACGGGAATGAGAAGAACACTTCTCAAGCTGGGCGTTTCAAGTGTGGAAGAAATGGCCACATAAAGGTTGAATGTCCACAACTGAGACGAGAAATGGCATATGCAGCTACGTGGAGTTGCAGTGAAGATGATGACGATGAAGCAGAGACTGAGAAAAGGCAAGATGCACTCATGGCAGTTGGAGAAAGTGAAGATGAATGCAACTCTTCACAGGTAAGAACACTAAACTACTACTCTCAGTCTAATAGTGAAAATGATCAAATCAGTGAAACTATAAGGGATATACATATTGAATTAAAAAATGTGCAGATAAACCATACACAGCTCAAGCCATAATTTGAAAAATTAATTAACCAACATAATGAGCTAAAAGAAGAAAAGCTATGCATAAAGCTACAGTTAAAAGAAGCATTGTACAGGAATGATAAGTTAGAAGATAAGATAGCTGAATACAAGAAGAAGAGTGAAATAGTAAATAGGAGAATAGACACCAAACATCTAAAAACAAGTCGCTTGGTAGCTAATCATAATCTAGATAGTGTAGAGTGTTTTTATTGTCATCAAACTGCACATTATATTGCTAATTGTAAAAGAAGAATAGCTAAGAAAGACAGGTTGAAATCCACAATGTGTTTCGCGTGTCATAAACTTGGTCATAAGAGATTTGTATGTCCAACTCCTAATGTAAAGGCTAAAACCTCTAGATTAGTGTGGTTACCAAAAGGGAAATGAACACCATTGTTGAATTAGGTTTGCTTCCAAGTGAGCATGGAAGACAACGAGTGGATTCTGGATAGTGGATGCTCATACCACATGACTGGTAATGAAAAAATCTTCACAAATTTGGTTAAAGGAAAGAAACGTAAAGTTTACTTTGGTGATAACTATAGTACTGATATTCTGGGCAAAGGGGAAGTAGGAACCGCTCCAAAAATAAAAAATGTGATGCTCGTAAATGAATTAAAACATAACCTCTTCTCAATAAGCCATATGTGTGGAGAGTCAAATATAATAGTCTTTGAACCTAATGGATGCTATGTTGAAAATATTGAAAACCGAACAATTTTATTTTCTAGAAAAAGGAAAGGAAAACTATTTTGCATAAACCTGAATGATAAAAACTTCCTTTAATGAAATGTGTCTAGTATCAGTTGATAAAAATGATCAACTAGAGTGGCATAGGAGGTAAGGTCATGTAAGTGTAGGTTCCTTATCAAATTTGGTCAGTTTAAATCTAGTCACAGAAATTCCTAAGGTAAACTGCAAGAAGGAATTTTTCTGTGAAGCTTGTACAAAAAGAGAAAAAAAAGTCAGAACCTCTTTCAAAAGTAAACAAGTCATATCTACAACACGACCTTTGGAACTGTTGCATTTAGATTTGTTTGGACCAAGCAATATCATGAGCTTGGGTGGCAAATCCTATGCATTTGTGATAGTAGATGACTTCTCCAGGTTTACTTGGGTTCTGTTTTAATGAAACAAAAATGATGCTTATAAGAACTTTAAAAATCTGATCAGGTGAATTCAAAATGAAAAGGAAGGAAACCACAGCAGAATATCTCATAATTTTTCTGCCCCTAGAACACCACAGCAGAATGGTGTGGTAGAGCGTAAGAACAGGACTTTAATAGACATTGCTAGGACAATACTAAACGACTACGGTCTTATCAAACATTCCTGGGCAGAAGCTGTAAATACAGCCTGCTACACAATAAATCGTGCATTAATAAGATCCAAACTGAATAAAACACCCTACGAACTATGGAAAGGAAGGAAACCGAACCTAGGGTATTTTCATCCATTTGGATGTAGATGCTTTGTACTAAACACTAAAGATAAACTTGGAAAGTTTGACTCTAGGTCAGATGAATCCATTTTCCTGGGTTACTCTCAAAACAGCAAGGCATATAGGATTTACAATAAAAGGACCCTCAAGGTAGAGGAGTCCATCAATGTTGTGTTTGATGAATCTTCTAGTGAGTGTGCAGAACTGATCGAAGAAGATGATGATCTTGGACTTGAACGCACGCAGTCTAGTGTTGAGGAAAACAACAGAATAGAAAACCAAAGTACTCAAGCGAAAACTGTTCCAAGTGAAGAGGAAGATACATCAGAGGAGCAGAACATTCAGGCACCACCACGCAAACAGAAAAGACATCCATCATCACAAATAATTGGCAACATCAATGAAGGTATGATTACTCGATCCAAATTGTCGTCAGTACAAACTGCCTTTGTGTCGTTAATTGAACCAAAGAATGTGCAGGAAGCATTAGATGATGAATTATGGAATGAATCAATGCATGAGGAAATGAATCAGTTTAAAAGAAACAATGTGTGGGAACTTGTTCTCAAACCTGAAAACAGAGTAATAATTGGAACCAAGTGGATATATCGAAAGAAATCTAACGAAGTATGGAAAGTCACTAGGAATAAGTCTAGGTTAGTTGCTCAGGGGGTATAGTCAATAAGAGGGAATAGATTTTGACGAAACTTTTGCCCCCGTGGCAAGGCTAGAAGCCATACGGTTGCTTTGTGCTTTTGCTGCCTCCAAGGGATTTAAACTGTACCAAATGGAAGTAAATAGCGCTTTTCTAAATGGTGACATAAAGGAGGAAGTCTATGTATCCCAACCTCCGGGATTTGAAGACTATAAATTTCCAGATCATGTGTACAAACTTAATAAATCACTTTATGGACTTAAACAAGCTCCTAGAGCTTGGTATGAAAAACTAAGTCAGTTCCTACTAGACAAGGGTTTTCATAGAGATGCAGTAGATAAAACTCGATTTATTAAAAAGGAAAAATCTCATACTTTGCTAGTACAAGTGTATGTTGATGACATAATATTTGGGTCTACAAGTAGTTCCTTCTGTAAAGAATTTGAACAAGACATGAAAGGATCCTTTGAAATGAGTCTCATGGGGGAACTTACCTACTTTCTAGGATTGCAGGTTAAGCAAACTAAGAAATGAATTTTTATAAGTCAAACCAAATACTTACTGACCATGCTTGAGAAATTTAATCTTAAAAATCTTAAAACGGCTGTAACTCCAATGGGAGCCACAGTAAAATTAACAAAAGATGAGTCTGGTATCGCTGTTGATGACAGAATGTATCGAGGAATGATTGGTTCACTGCTGTATCTAACAGCAAGTCGACCTGATATAATGTACAACATCTGTGTTTGTGCCAGATTCCAAAGCAGTCCTAAAATGAGTTATCTAATTGCTGTCAAAAGAATATTTCAATATCTTAGTGGAACTACCCACTTGGGACTTTGGTATTCGTACGAGTCTAGGTTAGAATTAATCAGTTACAGTGATTCTGATTATGCTGGATGCATAGTTGATCGAAAAAGTACCTCTGGTACTTGTCATTTTTTGGGGACTTCCCTCATTATATTTCATGGGCAAGCAAGAAACAGAATTATGTTGCCTTGTCCACCGCAGAGGCAGAATATATAGTTGCTGGTCTAGTTGTACTCAATTGCTATGGCTTAAGTATCAGCTTCAGGATTATGGTCTAGAGTTAGTTTCGCTTCCCATTCTGTGTGACAATACGAGTGCGATTAACATGACAAAAAATCCAATTTAACGCTCTCGTACCAAGCACATTGAAGTAAGATATCACTTCATTTGTGACCTGGTCCAAGAAGGAAAAATCAGACTGGAATTTGTCAACACCACAATGCAGTGGGCTGACATTTTTACAAAACCTCTTGGGGCAAACAAATTCCTTCCCATTCGCCGTGAACTTGGCTTGTTTGAAATCTCTGAGATTGAATCTCTATAAGGCTTTATCTAAGAATATAGTCTTACCTTTCTTTCTTACGATTTCGATTTATGTGTTTATGTCTGATCAAAACTTGCCTTAAAGTGTCTCCTCACTTTTCATCCTCCCCCCCTCCTTTTCTATATATTTCCGTCTTCGTTAGGGTTCGTCATCTCAGTCCTCTGTCGTAGTCAGCATACCATCCTTTCTCTATCCGAGACATGACTCTAAACCATGCTCAACTGCATCCCGCAGTTGTGTTCAAAAATCAAGGGTATCGCAAGGCTGCTGCATACTCTCGTTACCTTCGACGATTCAGAGACATGCCGATTTATCCATCGTTCTCTATTCATCCTGATGGTTTCAATAAATATAACATGGACGTCCCATCTCTTCTCCATGGTCTTGGCTGGAGTTCTCTGGTTGAAGACACGAGGTTCAACTATTGTCCTGAAGTTGTTCGCAAATTCTATGTCAACATCAAGTGTGGTCATGGATGTAATCCATCCTTCTTCACCACAATTGTGTTTGGCTATGAGATCAAGGTCACCCCGCAGTTTCTGACAACTCTTATTGACATCCCTCATTCTGGGTTTCTGGCTGGAACAGATGGCGAATTCACAGATCGTGGGTTCTCCTTTACTGCTGCCCTACCCGGGATATAGGTCAATTCTATCCCACTCAACTCGTGGCTGGGTGTCTCCATGACGATCTGAAATTCCTCCATTTCTTCATTAATCGATGCTTTCTGCCTCGAGACCTTTCAAGCACTGATGTACTGCACTCCTCGGATCTCTGGATCCTGTCGAATGCTAGAGCTGGTCGCCAAATCAGTTATGCATCCCTCATGTGTTCACCACATGATTAAGTACGGTATGGAGTACTTCAGTGGTCCTCTGTCGTTTGGCCCACAGATCTGTACAAGCTAGGGATCGATATTCGTGACAAGATCACTCTTTGCAATGTCCTGGAGGACCTGCGTCCTCAGCATGTCCTAGCTAAGTTAGATGCTGAAGTTGGCCCCCGCAAGCTCGTCAATGGCTCAGGGGGAGTCAAGGTCGGTCCCGTAGAGTCATATGTGTCAGGAAACCTGGTAGGAGCACTTATGGATGCAACCGTGACTGTAGTTAAGCGAGAATCCTCGATGGCAGGGAATCCAACCACCACTCTGAAGAGACTTAGGGAAAGAGATATGATGTGGCCCAAGTTCGTATATGAGTCAGGAACTGTTAATGACTCAATGAGTTCTGATTCCGAGACTGAAGAAGCAGAAGGGGTTTCGGATCATGAGTCCCCACAAGATTATCCCTTCTAGAGTCATAGGAAGTATCTATAGGGGGAGAGTCTAGCGTCAAAGTACTAGTAGATTGAGTGTTATGACTTTTGGATTTGTGTTGAGTTTTTCTATGGATGTTCTGTTAAATCTTGCTCAGTTAATGAATAAATTACTCTCCTCAGTATCTTGTGATTACTATGTGCTTTTCTCGGTCTCTACATTAGAACATGTTGCACCAATCGTGTGTTACGTGTGTGCAGATTATAGGAGGAGCCAATGACAAGGTTAGGGGGAGTTTGTTGGAAGAATCTTGATCAATGGCACTGAGAAAATATGGAAAGAGGAATAAAGAGCAAGAATCAAAAAGGGGAAGTCTGGATATGAAGATCAGAAGCGGCAATCACGAACCCTGATCGCTCAACTGTCAATAAACAATGTTATATAAAGGGTAGAATAGCAGAGGGAACATTCACCTTTTCGAGCACAACAATTCAATAGGAGTTACAAAGTGTACGAGCTATTGAAACGAAAAGGAGAGTTGTCAGGGAGATAACTTTATAGTTAGGAGTATCAAAGTCAGAGTTCTGCAGGGAGTAGAACTTTGAAAGGGATTCTAATCTGTGACAGGGAGTCATTGAGAGATTGGGTGTTGTATTGTGTAACTTGGATACAAATCATCTTAGTGATCGCCAAAGGGTTCAAAATGAACTTCTTTGGCCGTGGACTAGTCGGTATTGCACATTGCATACTGGAAACCACGTTAAAATATGGTGTTGTCTATTCTGCGTTTTAGTTTCAATTCACCTCTATTTTGCTGCTCTGTTTCTTGTTCTTAGCTGCAGAGACTCGGCCAAAGCAAGGACTTGAGGAGGAAGAAGAAGGAGTCTTACACAGCAAAGAACTCACCGTTTTGACACAAAACGCTAAGTTGCAGTCCATGCAGAGTTTGGGCCGCATCTTGTTATACAGAGAAGTTTCATCGTAACTGAATAATACTATTGGGCTTGAAGTAAGCTAGGCACATTGTTTTATTGAACAGTAAACCACTTGTTAAATATTGTTGAAACTCAATCCGATCAAAACAGCTTCGTCGTTTATTTCATCCTAGCGTCTTCGTCGAAGCAAAGCAAATTCGAAAAACCCTAACCCTAAATTCCCAAAAACTAGTTTAGATTTTGCAGATGTTACAACAAGAATCTCGCGCTCGATTCAAACCAACAATCACCTCACCCACATCTTTCCCTTTTACCTCAAGTTGAGGAATGGTTACATAGTGCACATGGGAAAAATCATCAAGTTGCTCCCTCTGCCTGTACAAGAAAACATGTATTTGTATCGGTTATACTATTATGTGTAGGTTCACTTAACCTACTCAATATGCGTCCAAATATATAAGAATTCCGTCGATTTTGGTCAATTGCAAGAGTAATCGGCTCAAAATAAAATTGTGTGAACAAACATAAATTTTTCTTCAGAAAACTTCAATTTCAAAATTATTGAAGGTCAGGCATCTTTTGGTTTTGGGTGTTCGCTCCCGGGAATGCTGGATGCCACTACTGTTAAACTTTTGGCGGTACGGTACGCTTTGCTTTTGCTTTGTCGTTGGGGATGGCATGATCGTCCAGTTCTGGTTACCAGCGATGCGCAAGTGATGGTGGAGAGGTTGAGGCACTGCGATCCTCATGATGCTCGTTGTGGCGCAATTTACCGTGAAGTGCTGGATCTACTCGATCTTCTTCCTTTAGTTCGTTTTGCATTTACGCCTCGAGAAGCGAATCGGGCTGCCCATTGTGTGGCGCGTAATGCCCTACGCTATCCTGTAATTTGTAATGTCTTATATGATTATTCGTACATGGTCTGTCTTTGAGTCCGTGTAGGGGCCGTAATTGTTGTGGTCCCACACGCTTATCTGGATAATTCGCAAAGATTTCTATGGAAAAAAAAATAATGTAATTATCTTTGTTGGTTAACTAGGCCGTAGGCCCTCAAGCCCACAAAATTCCCTTCTTCATTGAACGGATTCCGTTTGGTAAAAAGCCATAGCTCACAATGGCCATGTGGGCCCCTGAGCCCACCACGATATTTCCCGGTCCACGACACCGTATTAAAGCGAGATAACTGCCATACGTTTTTTATTCTTTTTCCCTAACAACAGCAAATCATTTGGCCAGAAAAAAGCTTACAAAGGAAAAGATACTCAAAGACAATTTCCATTTCCCCAGGCCAATTTCCTCTGCCTTGAAGAAAGAAAGAAAGGGGAGCGATCCGATCGGAGACTGCGAAACCCGAACCGGAAAGAGAAGCAGCATGGGGAAGGATCTCAGCGACGACCAGGTTCACTCGATGAAGGAAGCCTTCGTCCTCTTCGATACCGACGGCGACGGCAAAATCGCTCCCTCCGAGCTCGGTATCCTCATGCGCTCTCTCGGCGGGAACCCGACCCAGGCCCAGCTCAAGGCCATCGTCGCCGAGGAGAAACTAACCGCTCCTTTCGATTTCCCGAGGTTCCTCGACCTAATGGGGAAGCACATGAAGGCCGAGCCCTTCGATCGACAGCTCCGCGACGCCTTCAAGGTGCTCGACAAGGATTCCACTGGTTTTGTCTCCGTTCAGGATCTGCGCCACATATTGACCAGCATTGGGGAGAAGCTGGAGCCCGCCGAGTTCGACGAGTGGATCCGGGAGGTGGACGTCGGGTCGGATGGGAAGATCCGGTACGAGGATTTCATTGCTAGGATGGTTGCTAAGTGAGGAAACAAAAAGACCCGTTTGCTGCAATTGATCACGGTAAAGGGATCTGGGTTGTGTTTTCGTGTCTTGTTTGTTTATGATTCTGCTTTTCTCAAGTAATTTCGGGTAAGATTTGGCTTCAATTTGGCTCCTAGGGTTTATGGGCATTTCATGTGGTGGATGACTGACAGTATGTTGAATTTGAAGTTGATGAAGCAATGCTACATCTATCCGTTGATCATTTTGGGGGTTTCTTTTGGTTTTTTAATTTTTTTGTTCTATTTCCCCTTTGATCATCATGGGTAGTCCGTAGTTGTACTTTCTGGTATCTCAAATGTGAATCTAATTGTATTAACGCCTTTGTTAAAAACTCTGGCTCTTTTATTATTATTTCTTGAACAGTTTCCCTTTTATGGAAGTTGGTTGCATGCAAATGACTATTCTTGCTCTTTAGTTCCAAGTGTGCAACCGTAGATAGTCGAAGTACTATGTTGTTCTTGGCATGGTTTTGATATGCTTAGTAAATGGTGTTGTTGTGCTTTTACTGATGGCTTGGATAAGTCGAATTGGTGTCAATTCAATGATAGCTGGCCAGCTTGTTGTTTGGTAGTGAGATTGATGAACTAGTTTTCTACACTGGTGTAGTAACTATCAGAGCATGACAATTATGCAGGGGCGTACCCGGTCCACTGGAGTTGAGGATGCCCTTGAGAACATTTGTTTATGTTATGTGTTCTTTTGTTTCTAAGTTTGTGAAGTAGTTGCTGGAATGCTAATCTAATAAGTAATAACAACTTGTAGTTACTGGAAGTTAAGACTGTGAACGAACCAGAGAGCACCCAGTTGCTCTGCTCGTGTTAGGGTATCAGTAGCCATTTACAAAGTTGGTATGGATGAAGGATTACTAGGAGTGTCAATGTTATAGAGTGTGCTGCAGTCAGAGAACCGGTAATCAAACGCCAGGATGATTCTTGTACAAGTTTTGTTCATGTTAATAATAGAGAAGGAAATTGGGTACTCAGACTTACGGGGATCTTATGGAGAGGAACTTGGGACTTGAAGTGGACATAATCTCCCGGCGCCGCTAAGACGCCTTTCATTGCTTTACTAGTTCAGGGATTGTGCAACAAAAACCTTGAGATTCATGAGTGATTTATTGTATTATGGAGTTGATAAGTAACAAAAACCTTGAGATTCATGAGTGATTTATTGTATTATGGAGTTGAAAAGTCTAGTGTTTGCATGATAGAATTGACAATGTATTTATGATGGATTTGTCACATAAGCAACTAACCATCATGGATTTACAAATCCCAAACAAATATGTGGGATTTATAAATTCGTGGGATCCACGGATTTGGTCTCAAATTAAAGACCAAATACGTGGACCTCACGGATTTGACACCCATCAACAAACAATGGACTTGTGTTAAATCCATCAAACTTGGAATTTATGTACCAAATCCATAACCGAAATCCAACAATCAAATGACCCCTCAATTTCCCCCCGGCTTCCTGCCCGATCACTTGATTGTTGGTAGGGGTGGGCATCTAGTTCGGTAAACCCGAACCGAACCGGACCGAAACCGATTAGAACCGAACCGAAACCGAACTATTCTTATTCGGTTTGGAATTCGGAACAGAAAACTGACTACTTCGGAAACCAAGGTTCTCTCCACCGAACCGATTTTCCGATTTTCGAACCGACAAACCGAAACATGGGCTGAATGCTGACTGAGCCCAGTACACTACCCAACCCAAACCCGTAGAGCCCAAAAAATCCACTTTCCCAGAGCCCAATTCCCCTCAAAAAGTCAAAACCCTAAGCCCATAGCCCAATTCCCCCCACCCCACCCACATAGTCACAACCCTAAGCCCAAATCCTCTCTCGGCACTCACCTGTCACCTCCCACCACCACAAAAATTCACATCTCTAACCTAAAGAGACGGCAAGCAGCCACCATTGTCAATTCTCGTCTTTTGTCCCAAGCAGCCAATTTCAGATCCACCACGATTTAGATCCATGGCACATCTCGGCGCTCCTCGACGGGTAAACAGACTGGAGCGGGCATCTCGACGGCGGGGGGATCGGCAAGGAAAGGAGGCGGGATCTGCAGGAGCGGCGGCGGGATCCGGGGCGACATGCTCGGCTTAACGAGCCCCTGCATGCTCTCTCCTGCCTTGTCTTTCGCCATCGCTTCCTCTTCTCAAAATGGATGAGTGGCGGACTTGGCAAGCTGGACCTGGGGAGAAGGCGAACTCGGCGGCGGACGGAGCTCAGTGCGGCATCGACGGCGAAGTGCTCGACCTAGCTGAGCGATGAACTGCTCGGAGAGGACGGGTCGGCGACATTTTGTCCCCTGCAGAGAGAGATGGAGAGGGTTTGATAGAGGCGCTGGTGGTGGAAGAAGAGTAGCAGAGATGGAGAGAGATGAAGAGGTGGAAGAGAGGAAGAGAAAGCATATTTTTTGGGTAGAGAGAGGAAGTTGCGTACTGAAAAAGCGGAAGGCAGAGGAAGAAAAAAAGAAGGCAGGGGAAGGGTGTGGGAAATTTCGGGTTTGTCGGGATCCCGAACTGAATCGGAATATAACTCGATTTGGTCAAACCGAACTGAATTATATTTCGGTTCGGAATCGGTTTCATGTGTAGAGAGTTCGGGGGACCCGGTATACTCAATTTCGGTTCGGCTTCGACCGAACCGAACCGATGACCACCCCTAATTGTTGGGGTCGCCACTCGCCGGGAAACGCACAGCAATGACCTCCTTTCCCGTATGTCTTACAGTTTTCTCGCCCAAACTCTCTCCGCTATGATTGATCGACGGACCCGGACTACGGCGACGTTTTGCACCTGCTTGTCGGCCAGCCAGTAGGGATGGCAATGAAACCCGAACCCGCGGGTACCCAACCCGACCCAACCCGGTCAAAGCGGGTAAAATCCGTGTTGACCGGGTTCGGGCCGGGTTCAGGTTTAAACCCGCTGTCTTGTTGTGCGGGTTGGGGCGGGTTCGGGTTTGGGGTACCCGCCCCGTGAATACCCGGCCACACCCCTAACCCTAAGGCCTAAACCCTAAGATTTTCTAATCACCCCAATCTCCCAGACGCTCCTCCCCTCCGCCCCTCCAATTCTCTCTGAATCGCACGACCCCCCGCCTCCACCCCCCTTCGCGACCGTCGCCAACCGCCCTACTACTCCCCTCTCGCCCGCCGACATCCCCACTGCTCCTCTCCGCCGCCATCCCCCTACTCCTCTCGGGGTGACTCCTTCGTCGACCCGCCACACTCAGTCCCAGACTCCCAGTTTCGTAGACCCAAACCTGACTCGTGTTTCGCAGGTCCGACCTCCACCTCTCGGCGACTCTCGCCCGCCTCTGCCTCTTGTCGACTCCCGCCTTCCCGGATTCCCCTGCTCGTCCTCTGCTCGGCCGGCAAGGGAACGAAATTCCGCCTTTCCCGGATTCCCCTGATTCTCCTCTTCGTCGTTACCGCTCCTCCTTTACCTCGACTTGAGACTGTTGTTGCGGTGTTGCATTGCCGAGAAGCCTTCCAAGGTCCGGAGATCTTCTAGGCTGCGGCTGCTTCTCCTCTGTGAGGTATGGAGGATTCTTCTAGACTTTTGAATGGAAAAGTAATTGCACATATGTGTCTTTCTTGCCAAAGGATGATTATTGCTGAGTTGAGATGTCAAATGTTTGTCGAGGTCATATGTTGATAGTTATTGACATTATTGTGCTGGTTGTAGTGAATCAATTGATAGTTATTGAGATGTCAAATGTTGCGCTAGTTGTAGTGAATTAGTTGTATAAAAGAATTGCTATTGGTTATTGTTAAAAGAATTTTCTTTTGGCTGTGAACAGATGTGAGCTCCTATCTTGACAAGCAAAATCAAGTTGTTGTGAATGGATCTGCTATATATGTAAATGATTTTTGTTATCATAAGCTTATTTCTTGCACCTCCCCATGGTCTCTTTCTGTGTGAGACTTCCCTTGTGGTTATTATATTGTGAAGCAGGTTCAAGGAGTAACCAATGGTTTTTATTTATGCTGTGGATAGTCCTTGAAACATCAATTCAACATTTCTCCGAGCGTACATAGTGCTTCAGTGTTATGTCCATCCTTGTTTTGCTGCATATTTTGATGTGCAGAATGTTTCGGACAAGCAAGATTTTAGTGGATTTTTACTGTATATTTTGCTGCATATTTTCATGTTCTTCTCCCTATTTGCAACAATGTGGGGATTTCTCCAAGTTTAACATGAACTTTTGGGTTAATAATAGGCAAAATACACTTGTGTAGCCAAAACTTTGACGGTTTGGCCAAATATAGCCACTTTTGGCGAAATACCAAAAATAGCCAATTCCGTCCAATTCTTTAACGGTGTTATCTAACAGTCTGACTGGACTAACGAAAGTGCTGACTTGGAAAATTTTTATTATAATTAATTACATTAAAATAAGTATAAAAAAAAACCAAAAAGAGAAGAAGAGATCTCTCCGTCCTCCTCCTTTTACCCTAGTCCCAATTCCCTTCCCAGAAATTCAGCCGCCCACCTCTGTTCCACCCAAACACACCGGCGCCACTGTTTCTCTTCCTATCTTCGAGCACATCAAATTACTTAAACAAATTCCCACCGAAAACTGTCGACCACACCGTTGCTCTCGCCGCAAAATCAATTCCAACTGTATGCTCTCGCCGAAAAACTCACTTCCCCAATTCCTTCGAATCTTCTCCTTCCTCTCCCCAGAAACAAGCAAATGAGCAGCTCCCCTGAGTGCGCCGCCCTCGATGTCTCCAGCTGCCGCTCCGACTAGTGCCTCTACCAGGTCAATTACAACGATGGATCCTTCACCGTCGGCGACTTTGTCACCGAAACTCTCTCCCTCGGCAGATCCGGATCTGCATCCAAAATCACCCTCGGATGCGGCCACGATAACGAATACCTCTTCGTCAGCGCAGGTATCCTCGGCTTCGGCGGCGTCCCGCTCTCCCTCACCTCCCAGATCCGAGCCTCCTCGTTCTCCTACTGTCTCGTCAACCGCGATTCAACCTTTTCCTCTTCTGCACCATTAGCAGCTCCAATAGAGAAATCTGGGAAGAAGATGTTGTACTTTAGGTTTTTTGGTTTTGGAATTGGGATGGTTTCTTTTTGGGGTTTTCTGTTGATTGGATTGGGGGTTTTGTTGATGGGGAGAGGAAGATGGTTGCAGAATCAGATTAGGGATTCTTTGGATAGGATTAGGGATTTTTTGGTTAGGGGTAGAACCGTAGAAGGTGGTTAGATGAGAGAGGGAGGATAGTCTTCTGAATCTAAAAAATATATTTTGTTTAAATTTAAAATATGATGTGGTGATGACGTGGCATGTGAGTCTTGGTGAAAACATGACGTGTCATCCAGTTGGCTGCCACATAAGCGTAATGTTCACTTAAACTAACGGAGTTAGAGACGGTGTTAAAGTATTTGACGAAAATGGCTATATTTGTCATACAATTTCAAAAAATAAGGCTATAAGTGGTATTTCTCCAAATTTGGCTATTATTGGCACAAACGTGAAAGTTTTGGCTATACAAGTGTATTTTGCCTTAATAATATGAACTTTTGGATTAGTTTGTGTGTATGTGTGTTTGCTGTTTGTTATAATGTTTTAACTGAAACAAATTTTTCTGTTGGTATTTTACACAACATGAACTTTAGGATTAGTTTTTCTGCTTCTGGGTGCTCTTTATTATAACTCATAAATCCTTTCCATTTTTGTGTAAGTGCTTGATTTTTATTTTTTGTTAATTGTAATTGTTATTTTTTTACCACAAAAACCCACGGGTACCCGTTAACCCGCGGATACCCAGCGGGTTGGGTTGGGTTTGAGTTTTTCAAATCCAACGGGTTTTACCCCGGGTTTTTTTGGCGGATAAACCCATGAGTTTGGGTTTGGGTTTGGCAAAACCCGCCCCAACCCGACCCATTTTCATCCCTACCAGCCAGCGAGGCAGCGTTGCTAAAAATGAGGCGCCAATTTCATTAAACCCCGTTTCGAATCCCGCGGCCCGCAACTGTCAAACCTTTTCGTGTTCTTTTTTCTGTCAGCCGCTCGCAATCTCCAGAAGAAAGAAACCCTCCGTTCTCTCGAATCCGCCGCTCGCAAGCTCTCTTCTTCTTCTTCCTCAGTCTCACCGAGCCTGAAACCTCGATCATTCGTTCCTTTGCGGTCCTCTAGAAACAACCCCGTCGTCTTCCTCTCCGATCCATTCCTTCGTCGCCCTTTGGTCTTCCTCTCTAAGCTCCAAAAACCCAGCGCCCATTCCTTCTTCGCCCCTCCAGAAACCGCGCAGCGTGGTTAGTTTGCTTGGTTTGATTTTATTGATGTTACTGCTAGTTTGAGGCCATTGAGAACTTGTAAGTTTGAAGTAGAGTTGATTGGTTTAAGCTTGATTTTATTAATGTTGCTGATTTTGTAGATGATCATCATTGTAAGTTTACGCTCTCCACAACTGTATAGTCCCTCTTTCATTCTATAAAAACCAACGACCCCTTTTAGAAAGCCGCTATGTTCCCAAGTTCCCGCCGGCTCTGCCACTACTCACTTCAATGCGCACAGCTGAAAACCCACAACCCATTTCTCGATTCGTGTAGATTCCGCCATTTCAACACAAAGTCAGCTACTTTACCACCAAAACCCCCCCACAGTACCCCCACAGTGGCAATTTTCTGGGATTTGGATAACAAGCCCCCAAACTCGATTCCTCCATTTGAGGCAGCCATGAAGCTCAAAAGGGCAGCATCCTCATTCGGGGTAGTTCAACACACGGTGGCTTACGCCAATCGACACGCCTTTAGTTATGTGCCACAAGCTGTGAGAGAGCAGAGGAAGGATAGGAAGTTGCTGAACCAGTTAGAAAACAAGGGCGTCATTAAGCCAGTAGAACCCTATGTCTGCAAGGTTTGCGGGAGAAAGTTCTACAACAACGAGAAGATGGTCAATCACTTCAAACAGATCCACGAGAGGGAGCATCAGAAGAGAGTGAACCAGATCGAATCGGCTCGAGGGAAGAGGAGGGTGAATTTGGTTGGGAAGTATGCTATGAAGATGCAGAAGTACAGGAATGCTTCGAGGGATGTTTTGACTCCGAAAACTGGGTATGGGTTGGCAGATGAACTGAAAAGAGCAGGGTTTTGGGTTGGGACTGTTTCAAACAAACCACAGGCAGCTGATGTGGCGTTGAAGGAGCATATGGTCGATGTGATGGACAAGAAGAAGGCCGAGTGTGTTGTTCTTGTCTCAGATGATTCGGATTTCGTTTGTGTAGTTAAGGAGGCGAAGTCAAGGTGTTTGAAGACCGTCGTTGTTGGCAATTTGGAGCACGGGGCGTTGAAGAGGGTTGCTGATGCAGGGTTTTCTTGGCAGGAGGTTTTGATGGGGAAGGCTAAGAAGGAAGCCATCTCAGTTGTGGAGAAATGGAGCGACCGTGAGATTTTGGAGAGGTTGGAGTGGAGGTTTGATCCGGAGAAGGAGAGAGACGCTTATGCTGCTGTGGATGCATTCTACAATGAGACTGCAAGCGATGGAGAATTTGATGATGATAGTGTCTTTGGTGGAGGTTATGAAATGGGTGGTGGTGTTGTGGAGAGGGAAGATTCTGGTTCTTGGTGGGAGCTGGATTTTGAAGTTGATTAAGCAATGCTACATCTATCCGTTGATCATTTTGGGGGTTTCTTTTGGTTTTTAATTTTTTGTCCTATTTTCCCTTAATTGGTAGTCCGTACTTGTACTTTCTGGTATCTCAAATGTGAATCTAATTGTATTAACGCCTTTGTTAAAAACTCTGGCTCTTTTTTTAAGATCTGGAAATTATTTACTTTGCGGGATTGGTCTTATTATTATTTCTTGAACAGTTTCCCTTTTATGGAAGTTGGTTGCATGCAAATGACTATTCCTGTTCTTAGTTCCAAGTGTGCAACCGTAGATAGTCGAAGTACTATGTTGTTCTTGGCATGGTTTTGATATGCTTAGTAAATGGTGTTGTTGTGCTTTTACTGATGGCTTGGATAAGTCGAATTGGTGTCAATTCAATGATAGCTGGCCAGCTTGTTGTTTGGTAGTGAGATTGATGAACTAGTTTTCTACACTGGTGTAGTAACTATCAGAGCATGACAATTATGCAGGGGTGTACCCGGTCCACTGGAGTTGAGGATGCCCTTGAGAATATTTGTTTATGTAAGTTTGTGAAGTAGTTGCTGGAATGCTAATCTAATAAGTAATAACAACTTGTAGTTACTGGAAATTAAGACTGTGAACGAACCAGAGAGCACCCAGTTGCTCTGCTCGTGTTAGGGTATCAGTAACCATTTACAAAGTTGGTATGGATGAAGGATTACTAGGAGTGTCAATGTTATAGAGTGTGTTGCAGTCAGAGAACCGGTAATCAAACGCCAGGATGATTCTTTTACAAGTTTTGTTCATGTTAATATTTGGTGAACTTCTGTTGGCTTTTACGCAGCTGTTATCGTTCTTTTGGTGGTGTTGGCCTTTTCTGAGTTCTGACCTGCTGGTTCATTATGCATCATGTTTGTGACTATCAATTTCAACATTCGTGAGTTATTTCTGTATTGTTTCCATTCAGCAATCATTCTCCACGGTAATGTCAGTCATGTTTGCTGCTAGCAGTTTGGCCTCATTAAACTGAGGCATTTGAAACTCTATAGTTGGATGCTCAAAATTATGTAGTTGAATGGGTGAAGTGTGGTAGCTACATCCTATTCGATATCTACATTCAGATTTTTTTATTGGTTCTGCTTAGAGCATCAAGCTTCATTTCATACTCTCAAAACTGGTGAAATTCTAGTTGCATGTTCTCGTAAGACCAGAGCACTTTTGTTATGGTAGAGCACTCATGAGTTTGGAATGCAGAGGTATTAGGACGAACGAACCATCACTCTGTCATTGAGGTTACTTCTGGGTTTGTCTAGTCAATGTTTGTTACTTCTGCATTCTACTTGTCTAGAGCATGTAATTTGAATAAAATGTTATCGTACTCATGAAATGCTATGGGAAGCCGGTTTACTGCAGACAAGAGGGGTTAGTTCTTTTAGTCGATAAATTTGCAGTTGCATCACTATCATAAACCGGCCATCCGAAAGCGGCTGTCTCACCTCCAGTTTGCAACCATGTAGTTATGTTGCCAACGGCTCATGTTTCCCATGTATGTTACACCATTAACTTACCTTGTCTTTCTTGTGGGATTTGGGTGATCAATACGACATTCAAATTTCATTCATTGTTTGTTGAGATATACAAATTTATGGAACCCATGAATTAAATTATGGAGGACAAACAATTGACATCTATGGTAAAAAAACCTTTATTTCAAATCTAAGAATGCACCAAATCCATCATAACTAGAAAGATTTTCAAATTTCAAAACATTCATTTTCAAATCCTACAAGCACACGAGCCCTTGTTCATACGACACTAGCTACATGGCTGAAGCCGACTCAGAAGGCCGGCAAACCGGCAGGTCCTTCTCGAACACCGGCCGAGCCCTCAGTATTGGATTCCGGTCAAAGAAGTTCACCGGCTTAAGCTGGAAGCTGGCCGCAACAGTAGGCATAATTGGGAAATCCTCTTGACACGGAACGTGATGAAATCCCAATGTGTACCATAGAACAACGTCCCTGTCCTCAATTTCCCTGTTCCTGTAACACAAACCAAACCAGAGAACTATAACTACCTCTGTTCTAAACAACTACTTGTCTTCTCATGTGGTTAGTATAGCCACGTTACGTACCTGTGTGACCAGACATCCAAGGTATCGTCTCCGTGACTCTGGTACGTCAAAAGTCCCCCTGCCCATTGCTCGCTCCGATTATAGGGCGTCACCCATATCTGAAAAACATGTCTCTGTTACCACTACCCTGAATCTATAATTCATACGGAAATTCAAAACCTTAGTTATTTCCATATATATCTTTCACCTGATTGTTAGTGAATGCGCTCCTCAGTTGCGGAGGGTCGGAGTGATCGAGCAGGCTGGCAGCATTGGCTTCAGGGACGACTTTGTAACCCGAAGGATTCCCCAACCTCGACCTCCTCGAAGGGTTCACCACATGGAACTCGGAAGGATTGTAGAGGCTCAGCTTGACTCGAGCATCCTCCTCCGTCTTGGCGACGTGTCTCACTGGCTTCAGGTAGCTTTTTCTTGGGGTTTTCCCTTCCAGATTCTCTTCCTTCACCAGGTTCACCTTCACGAACGTGTTGTTCGGTCCGTCCACGTCCATGTCGAGGTGGAACGTGATGAAGTGGTCGTGAACTACTCCGATCACGTTCTCCGAAACCATCGGTCCCGTCTCCTCCTGGTTCTCGATTTGGTTCATGTTGTCGTGCACGGTCGCTTTCACCATCAGCATTCCCGACAGAGCCACCTGCATGCATGTGATGACCACGACGTAGCGAATTAAAGAGGGTCGTGATTAGGAGACAGTCTAGTCTAGTAAGTATTAGCATTTTTTTTTCTTTACCGTGATCTTGATCAAGCCATCGGTCTGGAATTCCCAATCAATTGTGTAGTCGTAGTTCCCAACCGACGACGCCATTCGAGCCACCAGTGTGACCTTAGCTCTTGCTTCCCTTAACTGCAACATTGTACGGCGGGTCCTCTATTAGTGGCAAAATTGAAATGCTAGTTGCTTACGAATTCCATCTATTACTACGTACCTTTTCACCGCCGGCGCTAACAGTGAGCTCGGTATGTCTCCAGGCAGAGTCGCCGGCGTAGCGTTCGAACAGGCAGATCATGTTGGGCTGAATGAACGGCCGTCCATCCGCCGACACGAAAACCCCGTCCATGTAGTGCGCATTTCGGGGGCAATCGTTCAGGGGAACCAGCGGCATCGCCGTGGCGCCCATCCCGAACTCGCCGGCGTCCATGTACGATTTGAAGTACCATGCCTCGTCGACGTCCATGTACGGCACGAAGAGCTCCGACGGGAACCCTTTGTACATGACGCTCCTCCGCTCCCCTGTCTCGGAGTCCCGAACCACGACCCGGGACACAATGAACCCGGCCCGCTGATCGGCCTTCAAGTGAAATTCCCAATTCGCCCACTCCACCAAATGCCCGTCCGTCACCGTGAAGCTCGGCCCCCGCGGCTGCTCCATCGAAATCGGGTTGATCGGGTTCATCTCCGGCGGGTCGTTCCCGGGGTGGAATCTGTAATCGGTGTTGGCTCCTCCGGGGATCGGAATCCCCCTCCCGGTGTCGGAGAACTTAATCACTTCTCTCCGGTCAACATCGACGGTCATGACCAGCCCTTCCAGCGGCCTCATGTAGAAATTGGGGGTCCCCTGTTTCGAGTAGCAGAGCACCTTCAGGAGCCGCTTCCCTTCCTCCTCGGGTCCGAACCAACCCGGGGAAGGCGAAATGCAGGACAGGTTCGCCACGGAGAGCCCGCGGGCCGCGGCCGAGACCTCCAGCCCCGGGTACGACACCGCCGCGTCCACCGCCGCGGCAACGTCCTCCATCGTCAGCATCGGGTAACCCGACCCGGAACTGATCTCGTGGGTCTCGACCCGGCCCGACTCGATGTCAATCGTGACCAGGTGTGACTGATTGTCCAGCAGCCCGATGACGAAGGCCTTCCGGGGCGGGAGCGGGTCGCCCGATTGCCACCCAAGAACCCGCAATTTGTCCGGCTCGTCGATTGTCATGGACTGAATCGCCGGGAATTTGCCGAGGAAGGGCTCGTAGGAGGAAAGAATGGACCGGACCCGGTGGATTTCGCCGACGGTAAGCGGGTCGAGCGGGTGGCGGGGAGTGGCTGAGGTTTGAGCTGAATGGCTGAATTTCTTAGAGGTCAGGGACTTGGGAGGAAACTGGCTCCGCCGCCCCGCAGATTCCCCACCGCCGCCTGAGAACGGGTTCCATGAGGAGAAGAGGAAGAAAAGGAGCATAGGTAAGAGCAGGAGTAGAAATGGGAGACGGAGACGAGAAGAAGTTTCCATGTCGGCAGAGCCTCTGGAGGGTTTTTCAGTATCGTCGGAGTGACCGAGGAGATTTGGGCTGAATGGCTAATTTTTGAAGAGGATGGAAGAAGTGGGAGACTTCATTTATAGGCCGAGTGAGTGACTGTAACTGTAAGGCTGTAACCGTTCCATCTCAGATATTTTATTTTGTTACCACCGGTGAAATGAGAGTGAAACTGTTCTTTCTCCTGATAGCCTCTTGTGCGGGTCCCACTGAAAAATATAACGAATTTGGTAATTGGGCGGAGGGCTACAGTACACCTAAAAACGTATTTTTTCGGGTAAAGGATGGTCGATTTCTCCCGAAAAATTCTTAGCTCTAATTTTGGTTGAACACAGAAGCTCCAACCAGTTATATATCAGTTTGTAATTAATGATTCTGATATGTTTTAGTGCGGATGATACTCATTTCATATACGAGCAAGGTTGTCAAACCGGTTTATGCTGGTGTGCCGGTTTTGTAAGTGGAATGGTCTGACCGTGGTACAACCAGTATTCATGTCGGTTGTGCCGATTTTAATAAAATACATGAGAAAAATGGAAATCCTCAATTCCAAATAAATTAGTCATAAAAAAGCAATTAGAAGAATTATTTCACACAAAATAATTTATAGCTAAGAATTGGTAACTAATACTAAACAATTAGATGCTTAAAAATAAAATTTTATTCAATCAATTTTATTAATGTTTATAATGATTTGTGTAAAATTTAGTATTAGATATATAAAATATAAGGTTAATAAAGACAACAAAATTGCTTGTAGCCTACTGGTGTATAAGTTAAACTAAAATGAACAAGAGGTCCTTGGTTCAAATCCTATTGAAGATGTTTATTTTTGGATATAATATGGGTAACATTAAATTCCGGTTTCTGGTCTAACCGGCCGGAATTTCCGGATTTGACCGGATCTGACCGGCATTGACCGGATTTGACCACAGTTAAATACCGGCCCCTTTCCAACCGGTTTGCTGACCGGTACCGGTTGAATCCGGTGGAACCGGCCGGCATGAAACTGGTTTGACAACCATGTATACGAGGCAAGAAGAACATGGATAGTGTTTCTTAATTTTTTTGGTTTTCAATTTCACGAATAATTATTACATTAATCAAGGTATAGTTTATTCTTATTTTTTATTTATTTATCAAAGTTTACCCATATGGGCGGCCCATTTCAAATTTCGTGCATTCAGAGTGAAAGTAAGAAGCACATTTTGGTCTTCACAATTTCTTTTTTTTTTATTCATTAAAAAGACACTTACTAGGATTCAAACCATGACCACTTTAAAGAAAAGCAAAGATCATAACCAATCATACTAAGTACATTTGTTATATCTTTTTAAATTAAAAACATATAATCGCAGAGAGGAATAAACTCTTCCCCCATTTCAAATCTCCTGCTCCATGAGCGTTTGTAGGAAGGGTAGAATATGGATTGTCAATTTTTTTTCTTTTTCTTCTGTGGAACGGGCCATTTTACCTTACACATGCGGATTTAAACGGGTCCAGGAGTGTTAATTTTTTTCTTTAAGTCCTTGTATTTCTCCGTGGTGGTAAAATATATGTGAAAAGGCAAAAATAATACTCCTTTTTATTGCTAAAAAGAAAAAAAATTAACAATAAACTAATGCATGTATTCTAATGGGCTAACCGCTAATCATAAAATAAAAGAGTTGAATGGGTCTGACCTACACTGGATTTGCCCATCAAGTAAAACAAATGAACATCATGGGTTTGTCATTCTAAAACAGTCTATTTTCTCTAGCATAATATATATTATGCTATTATTTTATATCTTAGTGGCTAAAATATAATGTAACTTAAATTTATTCAATGGTTCAACCTCGACCAACCCAATTAGTCCAATTTTTATCATTTCAAATATATATAATGTAATTATTTGATATCATAATGATTAAATTATAGTGTATATTATAGGGAATCGTTTTGTATTTGTTAGGAAAAAAATAAAACAGAAAGATCTATTTAGTTATTTTTAACATTAAAACGATACTAAACATTTTAAGTTTCCTTTCGAAATTCTATAGTTTTATTCCCAAATCAGTAATGTGCAAATGGAGAATTGTAGTCATCTCTTTTCTTTCATTATTTTTTATTTTCAAATAGAAAGTTTAAAAGTAAAGAATAATTGGAGTTTGGCATGGGTCGGTCAAACATGTTGAATTTCAAGTTTTGGCCCGTTTTGATCAAGTCTAATTTATAATCACATGGTTCTCTGATACTCGATAAAAATCTCAATCCAAAACAGTTTGGCAGGTGAGTCCGTGTTTACCACCATTTTCTAGGGATACAGGAACAGTGGTTCCTATCCCAAATCGTGTTGTTCATTCTTGATTTCTTTATATTTTATTATGGCTTGGCAAAAAACCAGAAAGCACAATGATGACAAGATGAAAGTTTTATAAAGCAAATTAATCGGCCAATGGGCCGAGTAAAAGTTAGCAATGATTGTGAAATGCTCATATCCTGAACACCAGCGGGATAGACGATTTTTTATTCGATTTTCTAGAATTTGGTCTCTATAAAACTTACTCCACCTAATCATATTACCAGAAACAATATTGTTTCACAAGGTAATAGGTACTTGATTTTGGTTCATAAGGCTGATTTTTGATTCGTTGCATCATTCATGTCTCTTTCCTACTAAAATTCACTATTTTTATCACGTGTTTCCAAAAAAGAAATTATACAACAATAAGCTATACACCCACTTTTCAAAAAAATAATAAATAAATAAGTTATACACCCCATTACATTATCAAATTTCATACCTCACATTTCTCGGGCCAAATGGGCGAGGCCACGCTAGTTTGGTAAAATATAATGAGTTTGGTTATTGGGCTGAGGCCTATCGTACACCTAAACACGTATTTTCAGATCAAAATTTGGCCATCGGGGCCTAAGGTAGTCGATTTCCATGCATAATTTGTCAGTTCCATAACTCCTACATTGCAATTCTGGCTGGCTACCATGCAGAAGGTGGGCGGACATTAATTCATAACAACCCTTTTTTTGTATTATTGCTATTGGAAAGAGATGCGAGCCCAAGACGTACTCACCTGTGGACTGTGGTCCAGCCCACGTCAGCTCTTCAGTCCAAGTCACATGCAGATGGCTTATTTCCTTGTACGACAAGTAGTTGTGTGCAACGGGTTGGTTAGTACCGGACCGCATCATACCAAATCAATATTTGGACTAGATCAGACCATACCGACTTGAATATAATATTATATGATCAATGGTCCTATAAATTTTATAAATATTAAAGAAAAGTGGACTCTCGTGACATTTTAATCGGACCAAAACGGACCAAATTCATTGTAGGTCCGGTCCTTAGTCCTAACATGTCTTTCTCTCTTAGACTGTGGTTTTTTCAAAATTTTGTTCAATCCAGACCGGACCAGACCTTTACACACCCCCAACAACAATGAGTCCTTGTCTTTGGTTAAGAACTAATTCGTCTTCCTCTTGTATAGACTTAGGTCAGCTACAACCAAGTTTATTTAACTAGATTGTCGGCCATAGTAACAACATAAAGAAGAGGCCATCAATAATATCAAAGCAGAAGAGGCTGAACTCTCCCACAGAATTAGTCTCGATCATTCAATCAAACGAGGATACCACGTAAAACTTGTGTTTCTTCTTTTTGTGTTCTCGATTTTTCATGATATAAAAGCGCCAATCTCAATAGATCGTTGTCGCTTTTCCGAACAATAGGGATTGCAACAAAACCCGAACCCATGGGTATCCACCCGACCCAACCCGGTCAACGCGGGTAAAATCCGTGTTGACGGGTTTTGGGCCGGGTTCGGGTTTAAACCCGCTACACTATTCATTGGGTCGGATTGGGTTTGGGTTTAGGTAAACCCGCCCCATGGGTACCCGCCCACACACATATAATTACTTTCCCGATATATTTAATATTCTAAATAATATATCTTCCTTAAACAACTAATATTCTTTATGTTTTGTGGAGACATGTATAATTTGTTCTTTCTAATTGTTTAGAATGAAGTTGATATTATGAAGTGGAGAGTGAAGAAACTTAGTTGACGAGGAAGAAGCTTTCAATTAATCTTATTGTTTATAGATGTTTATCTTTAATTTTGAACAATTTGTATTGATCATTTGCGGTTTGTTTGTATGCTCTAGATTGGTGTTTTTTTATGATTAATTTGTATGAGAAAATTGATGTTAAACTTTTATTTTGAAATAAACTTGTTATTGTAATTTTTTTACCACAAAAACCCACGGGTACCCAGCGGGTTGGGTTGGGTTTGAGTTTTTCAAACCCAACGGGTTTAACCCCGGGTTTTTTGGCGGATAAACCCATGGGTTTGGTTTTGAGTTTGACAAAACCCGCCTCAACCCGACCCATTACCATCCCTACCAAACAGTCTTCAGCATGAGTAATTTGGACAGAGTCAATTAGAGTTTTGGACCGAAAGATGCTGATGATATTCAAGCTTTCATGTCAAATCGATCCTACGTTAGTCTATTTTTTTTACATCCATCGGAGTGCGGAGGACAACTTAATGTCGGGGATGTTCCTACCTCGCCTCACTATGGTGAATGGTTTTTTTTTTTTTTTTGCGTTACAAGGAGGCAAAGCGCCAAGCAAAGAATTACAACGAAGACAGGGAGGAAAGAAGGGAGGAAGAGTTATTAATAACTCGAAGCTCAAAAGTTATTCCCATCATATCATCTTGAATAATACTCACTAAACCTGGTGGCGGGTTTGCAAGCTCATGCATACCGTAGGGATAGACGAGACTGTGCTTCGAGAGCCAGTCCGCGACTCTATTCCCTTCTCGGTAAGTATGAGTGATGCTCACCAACCAATCTTGGCTTAGTTTCCTCCGAATCGCTGAAAGCAAAGTCGCGTATGGGTGCACCTAATCATGTCGGCAGTTAATGAGCTGAATCGCCAATTGTGAGTCTGAATCCACTCGAAGGGTACGACAACCTTTCCGCCAGGCAAGATCCAGACCATGGAAGAATGCCCAAACCTCTGCTAGAGCTGCAGTAGCCGTTCCA